GCTCCATCCGCTCCGTCCGCTCCGTCCGCTCCGTCCGCTCCGTCCGCTCCGTCCGCTCCGTCCCGGGGGCTCGCAGCCTTGCTCCTTGTGAGGCTTTTCCCGGGATTCAGGTCGGGGTGAGGAAGCCGGGTCTCCCTGGGAATTCTGCTTTTGGGAGCCCACCGGTCTGCCGCCTCGAGCCCTGAAAGCGGTGGGTAAACACATTGAAATGAGAGTTCAGGGGTCTTAAGAGCCCCCGTAAGCCCCCCTCAGCCGCTGTCTAGCTGAATGGAAAGCGCATTCTGCATGACGACCCGAGGCTTTGCTGACGGGTGAGCGAGTCTCGGGCCAGCGGTGTGCACACGACTCACGTGCATTCACACCCGGCCCCAGGCTCAGGCCTGCTGCTCGGCCCAGGAGGGGGGTGTTTCTCAGGCTTCTTGCCCCGTGGCCACCCGGGGCAGGAAAGAAGCCAGGCTGCAGGAATAGCCCCATTGCTTCTCCTTCACCCACCCCCTGACCTACTGCAGAACCTTGGGTCAGCCCCCTGCAAACCTGCCCAGCCCTGCCTAGGTGGACAGCATCATTTCCCCAGCACTCCCGGAGCCGGGCTCAGCAGGGATACCCAGGGTTCTCCCTGGCCCCTCCCGTTCGCCCTCCGCGCTCAGATGCCAGTGTGGCTTTGAGAGAGGAATGGGACAGGCGTGGCGGACAACACCAGGACTTCCCTCTGATCTTGGAGGGTTTCTACACCTGGGAGGCATGGCCGTGTTCCTACTCTAGTGTTGGTCTTGAAAAGAACAGAGTCCAGGGCTCATTTAAAAAAAAAAAACACACCTGACTTTCCCCTCCACCCTCCGGTTAGGAGTTTGAGATTAAGCCAAGATAATAGCAGAAAAAACTTTCCAGAATGTTTAGCTCCAGTAACATATTCTAGCACTTTGGGAGGGTGGCAGGGAACAAATCAAAGAAAAATATACATTTGAAATATGTGTGTTTTGTGTCTGTGTAGGATTATGTTTTTAGAATGTTAGCAACCATTTTATCATGTTTCAAGTTTTAAAAATTCTCTCCTTATGAAATTTCCAGTTTTGACCAAATCCAGTGGTTTCTGACATAGTTGAACTAGGTTTCTTTGACCATGTAAAGAAAACCATTCATGAACGGAATGGAAAACAATCAGAAACCAACGACTGTTCTCTGACATAACCCAAGGCTGCCCAATGCCACGCAATATCAATCTTGCTGTTGTTGTTTCAAATGAGATCAAATTTTTCATTTAAAAAAAAAAATTTTAGGTCAGCTGGAACCCTTGCAGAGAGTAGAGGTCCCGCTGACATACCGATGATAGACTTGTTGCAAATTGCATCCCACTTTCTCCTCCAGGATTCAGAAATGAAACTCCGGAAGACCGCCACGCTATCGTCGCAGTGCCATTGGTTACCGGCCAGGCCAGCCTCCAGGTGGGGAAGTTCCAGGGCGATGGCCACCATGGGCAGGACGGCCGTCAGAGCATTGTTGCTGAGGTCCACGACCTGCTCGAGAAGAAACACAGTTGGGGCAGTCTGTGAGTAAAGACATTTAGACAACAAACGAGCTCCAGCTATTGCTTATATCCTTATGGAGGCAACAAGAAGTTAGCACTGATGGGGGAGTCAGTCAGAGGCTCCTGGGATTAAATCTCTGCTCTGTCTCTAACGGCTCTGTGAGCCTCAGCAAATCCTTTGCACTCTATGAGCCTGCCTGCCTGCCATGGGTGTTGTTAGGGTTAGATGTATGCAAAAGCCTCAAGCATGGTGCCTATATTAGATGCCCGATCATTTTCCCTTCTTTCTTTCCTGCGAGCTGTGATTTGTGCTGTCAGATAAAACCTGGACTCCCCGTTGTTATCAAGGTCTAGAATTAGATGCCAGGTCTAGAATGTCTGTGATCTTGAAAGTGGCAGAAGATACTGAATCACAAGGACGTACAGCACAGAACTGGCTGACCAGGTGTACTAAGGAGAGACCTTCTTAAGGGTGGTTGTACATTTCTCTGCATTCACGCTACTTAGTACGCACGAGATGACTAATTTTTCCAGTCTCATTGGAAATGAAGGGAAGCACAGGGAACAAAAAGGATTCAGTGGCACTGGAGACACAGAGAAGGACCTGTTGAAGGTGGATATGGCAGTGGGGTGATGCAGCACTGCTGTGGGTCAGGCATCCTACTGGGTGCTTTACATGTATCATCTCTAAACCTCCCAACAAATTCCTCACTTCCCTCTTTTTTTTACAGAGGAGGAACTGAGCTAGGACACACAGCATATCCCACATAGCCCCTAGTGGATAGCAGGTGTTCCGTAAATAGTGGAGAAAGGAATGGATGAATGAATGAATGAAAAGGTAGAGTTGAAACCTGACCCGGCTTCACTGTGTGCCTTCTACTCCACAACACACCCTCTTGGAACCTGAGCTCCCATTGCACTGGAGTGAGGGGCTTGGTGGAGGAGGCCTGGAGCATGAGGTTCCAGAGTGGGATCTTGGGGTTTGGGGAGAGGCAGATGGTTATCAGAAGAAGAGAAAATCATAAAAGAAATCATGAAAATCTTGCTGGAAAATAAAAAGGGAGCTGTGGATGAAAATCAGGCTGAATGTTATCTAGGTCAACTGTTTTATAAACATCAGGGAAAAGCAGCATCGATTCCCTGGGTTATATAAATTCCTAAGAGCTGATTCAGTGACTCCAACAGCACCATCACGGAGACCACTACATGCCAAATCAAACTCTCCCTGAACATAGGCAACGAGGCCGACTTTCCCATGCTGAGTAGCCAAGCAGTCTTGGCTCCCAAAGGAAGGTTGCCAGTAGTAGGAAGCAGGAGACTGGGACTGGGAAGGAAAAACCCACAAAACTTTTCTTTGGCCTGGTCTCGCCTAGGAGCAATACTTTTCTTCTGTACCCCTCCTCCATAACCAAGTGAAATCCTCTGCTGCTTTCCAGGTAGCTGTTTTCTTTTTAGTACAGGTCTGCGTTTTTTTTTTTTCCATTCTAGCAGCTGTGATATTACATTGAACTGAAAGCAAAACTGGAAGGTGGCCAGAAAACTAATACGATGATTCAGGAGAAATAATTTCTGAGAAAAGATGAAAACAGAACAGTCCAATATGGCTAAGAAACAGCTGTCCACCATCGGCGGCAGGAGAGTATGTTAGAGAAAGACTGGGCGAAGCACACGTTGCAGCACAAATCACCGAGTCCAAGAAGAACAGAGCAAGGTTAAAGGGAAGGGTGCTAATCTGAAATGCCAATGAAACTGAATTGGTTCTATCTAAGCCTGATGATGAAGTCATGATTTGAAAACTATCTGGCTTCTGAGGAGATTCCGACATTGCGCTGTGTGAGTATTAAATGCATCTCCTGAGGAAGGCAAAAACATCTGTTTTAATATGCAGCTTTCTGGTACCAAATATGTTCACCCTGTTCCAAAACCACTTTTTAAGTTGTTGCCAAACATGTAGAAAGAATAATAGAGAAGGAGAAATTGTATAATTCTGGGCAGTTCAGGTGACTCGAGAATTACAGATGACTGAAATCATTCTTGGGATTGTTTTTTAGTTTGTTTGTAGCATCTGTCACCTGTGAGCTGCAGGAGACTTATAAAGCACAATACAAACACATAGGAAGCAAAACAGACATAGGGCAATGACACACACAAATACCATCAGTATACCATATACTAAATGAGGTCCCCAGGCAATGTGACAGCCTGTGTGTGGTGGATTGGGGAGCACTGCCACGCTAAGCGAGCTCTCTTGTCTGCTCGGATAACCGGCAGATTCTAAACAGTCCCCAGGGATCCTGCCTTCTGGTATTTATGCCCTTGAGAAATCTCCCCTTGAATGTAGGCGGGCCTGCGACTTGGTTCTAAACATCAGAATAGGGCAGAAGCAATGGGCTATCACTTCGATGATTACTTTGCTTGAGAGTGTAATGTTCTTCTTACTAGCAGGCTCTCTCCTTTGGGCTCTGGTGCAAGCTACCGCGCTGTGAACTGCCCTATGGAGATGCCCACAGGGCACAGAACTAAGGGCGGCTCAGGTGACAGCCAGTAAGGCACTGAGCCCTCAGCTGACGCCCACAAGGAACTGAATGAAGGTTTCCCCTTCATTTCCACGGGAGCTTGGAAGTAGATCCCCTCCAGCTGGGCCTTCAGGTGAGAATCCAGCCCTGGCCAACACCTTAACTGAAGCCGCTTGAGAGGCCCTTAGCAGCGGATCCAGCCAAGCCTTACCTGGACTCCTGGCCCACAGAAATCGTGAGATAATGTATGTTTGTGGTTTCACACTGCTAAGTTTGTAGTAATGCCTTACGTAGCAACAGGTAACTGACACACCTATCCGTGGTCATCATCAATTCATTCATTCCTTTATTCAATGTGTTTTTAACTATGTATCATGTATTAGACATATGCTAAGCAGTAGAAAACAAAACGAACATGCTATATGTCCTTTAAGAGCTTACCATCTAGTAGAAGGGCTATGGGGATAGAGGCATTAACAACTAACCATACTTAAAACTTAATTTCTTCAGTTAGACAAGTGCAATGTGAAAGAAGCATATCATATTATAAGTGTGTATAAAAGGGCAACTAATTCAATCTGGAGGCCCAGAGAAGGCTTCATTGAGAAAGTGACATTGGAAGAATTAACAAGAGTTAGCTTTTCCAGGCAAAAGATTAGCAGGTCAGAGAGAGCAGCAGCCAGGCCTTTGTTGTGGAAGCTGAGAATAAACTTTAAATAAGAAAGTTATATTTTAAATAAGAAGTGACACAATCAGATTTGAATGTTAAAAGAGTAGGGTTCTGTGGTCACTTTAGAACTTCTACATGTAGTCTACATTTATAAAGAGCTTACTGTAGTCCAGGTATGATTCGAAGCATTTTATATGTATTAAAACATTTGTCACAAAACTCTATGAGAAAGGAACCAAACCATCTCCATTTTACAGATGAGAAAATTGAGGCACAGAGAGATTTGGTAACTTGCCCAGGATCAAGTGGCTGGCAAGCGGCAGAGTCTAGCTTTAAGCCCAGGTAGCTGGACCCAGAGTCCACCTCCCTCGCCACTGCTTCACTGGTCTCCTTTTGATAGAGAAGGGAGTTGGGGGCACTCTGGTTGAGAGGGGGGAGTTGGACATTTATCCTGTAGCTGTGCTTGAATATCGCTTTACATAAAGCTGGGAAAACAGCAGCTGCCTGTGTTGATGCTGTCTGATATGACAGCCATTAGCCACATGTGGCCGTAGAGCATTAAAATGTGACGAGTCCAAAGTGGGATGGGTAAGTGCAAAACACACACCAGGTTTTGAAGACTTAGTATGAGAAAGAAAATGTAACGTATCTCATTCATAATTTTTATCTTGATTAGGTGTGTAAAAGGTAACATTTGGGTATATTGGGTTAAAATTAATTACTAAAATGAAATTCACCTGCTTATTTTTACTTTGAAAATCTAGTTACTAGAACATGTAACACTGCATCTGTGGCTCACACTGTTTCTGTGGAATGATACTGGCCTGCATGAAGAATGGGGATGTGTGATGGAGGTTATGGGATGGGGGCTGAAGCTTTCTCTAAGGCATCTCCAGGTGCCACAGCTGGAGGCCACCCTGCTGTTTGTCAAGGAGCATGGAGGGGAGGTTTTACAATGTCCCCTCAAAGAGGAGGGGTTGGGGGAAAGTGCTTGGAGGAGGAAGGGCTGAAGCTGCCAAAACTAGAGCAGGGCTCTGGGGGTTCCTCACCTCCACCTCACCTCACACCTTCAGTGAGATTAAGGGCCAGGTGCTCCAAAATGTGACATAGATCCCCCAGCAGGAAGCTGATGTTTAGAATAGTATGTGGTTCCTGGGAAGTGCTGCACCAGGATGAGCTTCTATCATTACCATTTCTGCGAGTCCATGCCCAATTCTGGTATGCAAGCAACAGGGTCACTGGCTCTCAGAGGCCCATACAATCCTGGGTCACTGACATCTCGGCATCCCTCAGTGTGGTTGAGAGGAGCCTCCCAGGTGTCCGGAGTGCATGAGGCCCTCAGGATTCTGACTGACCTTGTAGTCAAAGATTTAATTGCTTGCCAACTGGCAAATGGAGACCTGGGGTTGGGTTTAATTTGATTTAGAAAAATAATGTGCCAATTGTTGCTGCTGAGTATTATGTTCGAGCAAAATTCATGTCCACTACTGAGACCTCTGATTTTTAAGGCAAGAGAGAGACTTCAGCAATTTTGGGGGACTCTTAAAATAGACTCACATTTTTTGATTAATAGTCAGTACTACTGGACATGAAGAAACTCTTTAGTCTTCTAATGTAATTGCCCATATGTTGAAATATTATAAAAGTTATTTTATAACCTGTAATTTTTTGAGGTCCTTGAAGGCTTCTGGATGAATTCTGAATATCTTGTTGTTTCTTAAATAGAGGTTCTCCAATTGCAGGCAGTTGTGGAAATCAGGCACACCAATTTGCAATATCTCATTAAATGACAGGTCCAAACTCTGTAATGATTTCAGTTTCCACAATCCTGTTAAAATTAAAAAGCAAATTAAAACATTGCCCTGGTCAGTGTGGCTCAGGTGGTTGGGCGTCAGCCGGTGCATTGAAAGCCTGCTGGTTTGCTTCCTGGCCGGTTGGGGCATGTGCCCGGTTTAGGGGCTTGGTCCCTGGTGGGAGGCATGCAGGAGGCTGCCGATCAATGTTCTGCTCTCGCATGGGTGTTTCCCTTTCTCTTTCCCTCTCCCTTCCCCTCTCTCTCTCTAAAAAAAAAAAAATCAAAAAAAAAAAAAATAAATGTTGAAACAAAAAAAGCAAATTAAAATACAAACTGGTGATATTGACTGTGGCATGTTTGTAAGGATGAAAGATTAGAGATACCTAAATGGTTGTCTCAATAGAGAAGTGGTTAAACAAAACCTGTAAAACACTGTGTAGTCCCAACAGAGAGCAGGATAGAGCAACGTGACTGCAAGAGGGAAAATGTTAAGTTGCTGAACAGTATAGACTATAATTGTAGGGTTCTTAGAAAAAGGGCCATTTGCGCCCATACTCATGTTTTTTGAGTGAGCAGGAAAAAAAGGCCTGGAAGGAGGTGAGCTAAGCTATTGGCAGCACTTACACTTGGGAGCAGGGTGGTGGGGCGCAGAGGGCTTGGAGAAGGAAGGAAACTTTATTTTTATTTTATATGTCTTCAAATTCTTTCTTTCAATGAGCATGTGCTAATTTTATAATTAAAGCATCAATTGTATACTCTAACTTTGAAGAATAAGTAAATATTTATTTGATTGAACTACGGAAAAACTGAGTAGTTGTTTTGATGGTTTACTTATGTGGATGAACTCTGAGTTTTCAGATGTTCTTACTCTATTTTGTAGCTATATCTTTTCTTTTATCTACTTATTGTTAATATAACTATTTTCTAGGCATTCTTGTATTTTTTAAAGGTAGTAAGTTCCAGCTAGATTTTGTGTTCTGGCAAAATAATCTAATTGGCTTTGTATTTCACCTGATGCCAGAGAGCCACCAGGAGGCCCATTTGGCACTGAAAAGAAAGCTTTAGATGAGGTGCCAGTCACAGTAGTCTTCCAAATGTGATTTACCATGTGAGCCCCACAAGGAAGCCCTGCAGTTTTACGTTTCCTTCTGCTCTGTTCTCACATGTAGTCTGTGGCTTTACCCAACTGTTACATAACAGATCAAGGTGGTTCAATTCCAGAAGGGTTCCTTCCTTGCCTACTGTCTTCAGGGTACTCACTGTGAGACTGATTACGCAGAAAGGTGATGACTTAGCTGAAATGGCTGTACGTCTGTGTGATCATACGTTCATTTCAGCTCTGCAGACTAAGAAGTGATCCTTAGGACAACAACTCAACCAAGACATCAAGGCACTTGGTGCTGAGGGCAAATATAGCATAGAATCCTTGTGCCTGGTTGAATGACAAAACCTAGAAAATTTACTAGTTATGCAAAGCAGTCACACCCTTCCATCCATCCATCCTCTCCATGAGATGATTACCCTTCAGGGCAGAGTTCAGGTCTTTGTGGACTCCTCCAATGCCTGGAATATGACATGCATTCAATAAACCAGGGGTCACAGTGTTTGGCCTGCACAGAGATTTAAAAGTTATTGAGCCAATGATAAAGATTCAATTAAAAAATTTGCATTTCTAGCCCTGGCCTGTGTGGCTCAGTGGGTAGAGTGTCGGCCTACGCACCAAAGGGTCTTGGGTTCTATTCCCAATCGAGAGCACGTACTGGGTTGCAGGTTCAATCCCAGGCCCGGTAGGGCTCGTGAGGGAGGCGACTGATTGATGTGTCTCCCTCACATCCATGTGTCTCTCTCAGATCAATGTTTTTCTCTCTCTCCACTGCCAACCCCTCCCTCCCTTCCACTCTCTAAAAAAAAAAAAAAAAAAAATCAATGGAAAAAGTAGCCTCTGGGAGGATTAACAACAAAAAATTGAACAATTGGAAGTTTCAGCTGCCACATGCCGTTTGGCGGGAGCTGAATGAGTGCTGCGTGTCTTAGACAGACAGGCACTTACAGGAAAATATGATTTCTCTGTACTCATGTCTCTGTCTAAAGTAAGAAAACAAAGGATAGGCCAAGAAACCTGCATGATTGTAAAAAATGGGAGAGAACCAAGGCTGACACTCGGCTGGTATGTGCGGTGGGAAATACTTCCACATTGGCTATTAAATTAGCCCTTACTGACTGGAGTCCTGCGAGCTGCCCCACTGTCCTAGGCACTTCGGTGTTCCCCCCCGGAGAAAGTGCTTCCTTGTGAATGAAGAATATTCCTACATGTTTTAAAATGCAAACATTGGGTCTGTGAGGGGGAAATGCAACCTGGACACCACCAGGAGAGGAGCCGTGGCTTCCTTGACGTTCCTGAAGCCCGCCTGGCTTCCCCGGGGGCAGAGCCTATGGCTCCCTCCGTTTCGGGCGCTTAATTGAACTGACTACGGGCTCTGGCCAGTGAGGGGAGCTCGTGCCTGGAATTGGAGTAGAAGGAAGAAATTATTTCAAAACCTCCATTGAATTGCATACTCTTTTTGTGCTCTGAGCATTCCACAAACATCTCCCTTCAATCTTCACAAAGCCCTGGGGGTTCTTACCATTTTGCAAATTGCAAAGCCCAAGTGCAGCAAGGTGAGAACTTGCCCTGTGTCATGGTGGGTGGAATTGTGGAGCTGGGGTTGAAAAAAATTAAAAGACATGGTCAAGGCCCTGAAAGGTCCCTGGGGTTTAGAAGAGGGAAAAGGCGCCTGGGGGCAGGGCTCGATGCAAGGGAATGGCCCCGGCCACGGAATATATACAATTGCCAAATATTTTGGGGTTGTTCAGTGATCCTACTTGTATCATATAGCAAACGGGGTACTTAAGTTGTTCAGTTTTATCTGGCTCTGTTTGTGACTTTTGATGTGACTCAGGAGGTATCACTTAAGGTCTCCATGCCTCAGTTTCCTTCCTTAAAAATTGTTTCTTGTAGGTGGAATTGAAATCTATCTTTGATCACTATGGTCCTCAAGTATTTTGAAATCAGTGGAAGCCACGTGTCACAGTTTTTTTAAAAAAAATATATCTTTATTGATTTCAGAGAGAGGAAAGGAGAGGGAGAGAGAGTTAGAAACATCAATGATGAGAGTCATTGATCGGCTGCAGCCCGCAACCCGGGCATGTGCCCTGACCAGGAATCGAACCCTGATCGCCTGGATCCTAGGTCGACGCTCAACCGCTGAGCCACGCCCGGCTGGGCCAGGTGTCACAGTTTTGATTACTGTTCAGCAAACATTCACTTTAGCGTGAGCAGAATATACTTTCTCATCCTGTTGCGTTGTTTGGCCATGTGACTTGCTTTGGCCAAGGAGATGTTAGCGGGCATGACGTGAGCAAAGGTCCGAAATGTGCGCATGTGGCGGGGTTGCTGTCTTGGATTCTGCCAAGGAACAGTTATGAAAATAGCATGCCCCGGTTAGCCTGCTGATCCAAAGACAGTGACGGGACCTTATTTGTTTAGGATCATCAAGGTGGACTTGGGGACGTTGAGAAGTCTTCCATGATTCTTGGCTGCCATTCTCAATGGGGGGAAATAAGTTCTTTTAAAAATTTGCCTGATGAATCGATGCTGAGGGTATCCAGGCGAGTGAAAGAGGTTAGGAAGTGCATTAGCTGGAGCTTGGACATCAGAGGGTAGAGTCTATGTTTCAAAAGAGGAGAGTCAGCCCTGGCCGGGTAGTTCAGCTGGTTAGAGGGTTGTCCCCATACGCCAGGGTTGCAAGTTTGATCCCTGGTCAGGGCACATACAAGAAGCAACCATTGAATGCTTAAATAAGGGGAACAATAAATTGATGTCTCTGTTTCTCTCTCCCCCACTGTCTCTCTAAAATCAATAAATTTTTAAAAAATTTTTAAAAAAAGAGAGGAGAGTCAAAGGTTGGGAAGAAAATAGGGAGGCACTTTTGTGGAGACGGAATTATTTATTGAACTGTTTTCTGATGATCACATAGGCCACGGGAGGCAGGAATTTGATTAGCCTTTCCATTTAAGAGACCAGAGGCAGTTTTATTACTTCCAAGAAATTATCTCAGTGCCTATTAGAAAAAAGGCCACAGAAGGTATGCCCAGACATTACACCACCTTAGAAATATTCCCTTGGACTACGAACTTCCTAAATGTTCTCTCAAGTACGATACCTGATAACACAGAACAATAATATTCAGGGGTCATGGCTTCAAGTTCATAGAGTATTAAGATTTGGAATAGAGTCTGAAATGGTCCTAGATATTTATTGATAAGGCCAGCCCTTAACGCAGTCAAATTTATAGAGGTGAGCCAAAGACCTTGCCCTCTTAATGGCACACATTCATTTTGTTACTTTACAACCTGAACTGGTTTTGAAAATATTGGTTACTGGTATTCCCATAATCCAATAGCAATCAGAATGAAATGCTTAATTCTCTAAAAATGAAAAGAATACAACATACTTTTGTTTTCACAGTACATGGTTATTATTATTTTTTACTCCACCAGTTTTAAAGTCAGGTATTATTTCATCTCATTCCTGACACATTTATCTCTCGGGTTCTGAAATTTAGTATGTTAATGTCAGGCTGTCAATGCTTTGTCAACCTAACTGGAATCCCAGTAAGATGCTGGTCCTGAAAGATTTCCAGGCACTCTGTGGGCACTCCAAAAATACTGCCTGATGAAGGCGGGATAACTTACCTGGAGACCCGTCTATTGTTTTAAAATTTTAAAACTGATTTTCCGTTATTAACACTGTACTCCAAAAATATGGGAGGAGGAAGGTAGAATGATCATTAAGGTTAAATTCATGGCTGGCTTCTGTCTTGTAAGCTGCATTGGCTGGCACCTCCTCTGGGTATTTGCCCATCATGAAACTTGTTGGTGACATCACAGCTGACTCTGAGGACAGGACGGGCTAACATCGGGTGAGTCACTGATAGTTCACCCTCACCAAAGTGGGTTTCCTGGGTGACACCGACTCTGTTGGCTCTATAAACTGTCACTGTTTTAAGACCCATGGGTCGTGATTTCTAAAGGTACACATGTGCTTGCAAAGCCAGCTGCTTGATGGCCGCTTTCCGAGGTATCTCCAGGTTATTATTTCAGATAAAAGCAAACACCTGTACAAATAGTCAGACACAAATGATTCTTGGCTCAGGAATGACAGTGGGCTGGGAGTCCCATCTACTGCAATATTATTTAACATTTTAAAAGAAAACTTGAGATTCCGACGAAAACAAATTTATTATTTGCTTCTAAATAGATTGTTGTTCTCTTTGTGCAAAGAGAGTAGTAATAACTAATTTTTGCAAGCTGCTTTACAAGGTTACAAAGTACTTTTCGCATATTTTAATAGCTATCACTTATGCCAAATACTATGCTAAGTTAGGTTCCTGAGATACATTTTTTTCCTTACTCCTCAGGACAATTCTGAGTAAACACCACGTTACCCAGATGTTACCTTTAAATAGGCTTGGAATGGAGGGATCAAAAGAGCACAGTGGAAAGTCAGAAGCCGCCCGGCGCTCCAGGCAGCGCCTCTGTCACCAGCCTTTCCCTGCAAACGGGGTTTCAAAGCCAGAGTTATCCAGCTATTGCCACGGAACCACAGAAAGGGCAGGGGTGTTAGAGGGGACTCAGTCTAGTAAAATCGGAAAATGTTGATTTTGGAAAAATTATCCACATTACAAAACGCTGTGGGTAAGAGGATTCTGAGCGCTCCCCAGGTAGATTCTGGGCTTGCGCTGGACTTCAGCTCATCTGTTTCCGTCATCTCTGCGGTTTCATTTGCTAGAATTCTAATGGGATTTCAGACAAAGGATTTGTTACTTCCTTTCCTTTTCTCCTTTGCAAGTTTAACATCTTTCCTGATACTTTGGGAGGCCAAGTTTAACTCAGGAAAGGAAGAGGGAGCTGCACCTGTGTTTTATAAGGCTGTCTGGTCCTTGAATGGAATTGCACTTGCCCTAACCCCCAGTTAGCCCTGGGAATTCATCTGCCTTAAGGAGGGAGATACATTTAGCATTCCTCTGTTTACCCTCGTGGTGGGATAATATTTGACTTGTCAACCTCTTACCTTTCTCTGTTTCCTTCTTTTCCTTTCTCTCCATTCAAGCACAAAGCTCTGTGTTAAATGCCCCCAGGGAGGCACAAAGTCTACGAGTCTTCCTGGCTTTTGTTTTCCAAAGGCCTAAACTTTTATTTTTATTTTAAAATCTTATTGNCACAGGAGTCTACGAGTCTTCCTGGCTTTTGTTTTCCAAAGGCCTAAACTTTTATTTTTATTTTAAAATCTTATTGTATTTGATTGTTTCCATCACCACTTATCCCCTCCATGCCCTCTTCCACCTCCCCTCGCTGCAGTCACCACAGTTGTCCATGTCCATGAGCTCGCTCTCTCTGTTTCCCTCAATCCCCCCACCCCCAGAGCTGCTGGCCTGCTCTCTCCGAGCCTGTCTCTGTTTTGCTTGGTCCTTCAGTTTGTTCGTTAGATCCCACATGTGAGGGAGATCATATGGTGCCTGTCTTTCTCTGACTGGCTTATTTCACTCAGCATAATGCTCTCCAGGTCCATCCCTGCTGTCACACGGGAAAATTTTCTCCCTTTTTACGGCAGAGTGGCCTAAACTTTTAGAGGAAAGGAATTTCTAGAACTAGACAGAGGATTTTAAAGAAACAAAAAGGGGAAGAATTTTCTCCAAACTGAAAAGACTGAAAAGAAATGTTCTTTGGTTAGTGGGGGTGAGGGACAGATGGATGCATACAGACACAGACCCCCCCCACATCTCCCCCAACACACTTTGATGCCTTGTCAGGATGTAAGATTCTAGAGCTGTGGTACGAAACTGGGAAAAGCAGAGGAAAGCTCGCAGAAGACTGATGTTAAGTAGAAGTGCCCCACACCCCGCCCCCAGCTGATCCCTGTAGAATTCTGGCTCAGAATCAGAAACTGTTGAGTTATAGACAATAAAAGGTTATATCTCCAGTACACTTGAATTTGTGGGTTGAGATTCACATCTACTATACTAGTTAAAAAATGTTATATCTTACGGATATGTATAGCTATAATATTCATCGAAGAGTTATAACAAACAAAAAGGAAATAACCTAAATGTTATATGATTAAGTCAATTATATGTATATATGAAAACTATTTAAAATATTATTTATGCTTAATTAGATAAAATATTCAAAATATTCTGTGATATGAAAACACAAGTTATGAAATATTATGGAAAGATAATCCAATGTGAAATAAAAATATATACATAGACATAAAGAATAAACTTAAAGAATACATTATAGGACTTCAATTTTTCCCTTAAAATTTTTCTTCAGATCCTAATGTTCTACAAATAACAAGTATTCCTTTTATAATAAGAACAGTTCAATAAACATTGTAAAATAAGATGCTATTAGTTTACACTTTACACTTAAAATACTACACGTTGCTTTTATGGAACAGGTCAGGGAGGGAAGCCTCCTACCCTTCTCACAATTCTGCTGATAAGACAACTGGCATAGTTCTTTCACCCCTTCAGGNCACGCTGCTTTTATGGAACAGGTCAGGGAGGGAAGCCTCCTACCCTTCTCACAATTCTGCTGATAAGACAACTGGCATAGTTCTTTCACCCCTTCAGGCTTTTATTGTCAGAAATAATGCTTAAAACAAGACCAGAAGCTGGAGAAAGAGCCAAAAAATAAAAATATGAAAGAAGTGAAAGATGAAGAAAACTAATATGCATTTTGGGGATGGAGAAAAATGACAAAATCCTCACACTTCCTTTCGGAGCACAGTGTCCTACATAAAGTCAGCACTCAGCAAACGGTGACCAAGACCAAAAGCAAACAAGGAAGGAAGTCGTCTCGCAGTCCTGACCGCAAAAGGGGCAGCGGAGGCCCTGGCTAATGACCCTGATACATTTCCTAAACGAAACGTTGGTGGGTTAGCTGAGGAACTCCAACACGGAGATTGCTGACTGTCAGAATGGATGAGAGCTTATTGTAATAGGAGGGTATGTGGACTATCCTGGAGAAACCAGGAATTCTGATTTTGACTTGGTAAGAAAGTTTTTACATATTAATATATAATATTAGCATATTTCTAGTCTACACTTGGAGGACAACTGGATAAGTAGAAACGAAAGATATTCCAAAAAAAAAAAAGTTACAAATATGGCAATAGTTTTAGTTTGAATTGTGTTACACATTGTAAGTGCCTGGACTAGTTATTTCTCAGCATTTGCTATATTTAGTCATAAATTTATGATAATCAAAGTAGCTAATTGAAAATCATGCCTTATTATTTAGCACTTAAATGCTTCCTAATGTCTCGACAAATCCACCTGTTATTACTGTAAATTATAGTGATGGGAGATTAGCATTGACTATAAATTCCACATATTATAATTCAAATTCCAGGAAGAAACTCCTTTTATTATATTTGCTTGGATCAAATTGCTTTGCTCAGCCATTTCCTCAAAACTGAAAGCAAACATGGAATTCTCATTGACATAAAACATTAACCCTCCAAGTACTCATTGTTTCTCGGTCCAGTCTCTCTCTTAAGGTTGTACTTACCCTGGGGAATGTCACTGAGTTTATTTCTTTGAAGAATCAGCAGCTTTAGATGTGGAAGCCCACTTCTCAAGCGGCTTCTGTGGCGTTTCACCCCGGAGGACTTCGGACTGGGTAGATCCAATGAGAAGGAGTGGATGGCGTTGTTGCTGAGGTTTAATATTTCCAAGCCGTGTAAATGGGCAAGAGGGCTGAAGCTTACTTTCGATATGAGATTGTTACTGAGGTCCAGACGTTTTCTGTTCTGTTCTTCTTTCGTGGGCGGTTGTAAGAGGACCCTAGAGAAATTGGAACTCACATCCACTGTGGCTGCTGTCTGTGAGATGTCCCCAGGTGTATCCTGCTTTCCAGTAAAGGCACAATTTGTCAGAACATATCCATTCCACTGGCACTCAGAACTGAAAATACTGCTTTTTCTTGATGGGTTGGTCCTTGTTCCAGTAAAATAAAGACTTAGAACCATGGTAATGACTCTAACACATAGGTTTTTCATAATGCCTGGAGAAAGCAAAATTGACTTATTTATTACAGCTAACAGCAAATAAGCAGAAAATTTACTTTTCAATTTAAGATTGAGGAAAATTATCTTGCCTTGATTGTCAATTTAAGTGAATGTTTGATTTCTTAGAAATTTATTAGAAATAACAGCATTAAAGTGAAGCTACCAAAAAGGGTATAGCTATAGTATAAAATTACATTTATGTCACCTTCTAAAGAAAGACTCCCCCAATTTTTCAGAAAATACATATTTACTCGGGCCTCACCTCTGTGCCTGCTTTTCCGGGACCATTCACAATGCAGCCTGCTCGGGAGTGAGGGAAACCTACCAAGATCAAAGGCTTCTCTGCCTCCTTGCTGGTCATTAGAACAGAGCAAAGTCTAGTGTCTCCAACACTGTAATCAGCCACGTGACTTAACTGTGTGAGCAAAAAGCCACCCAGTTACGTTGAACTGTGAAACTGTAAGGGTGGAAAGTTTAACTCACAAAAGATTTTTTTAATGACTAGAAGAACCACAAGCTTTGTCTCCGTGGCATTTCAAATGCTTTTGAAGTCATTTAGATCTGCCCAACATAAATAAGAGGGGTTATAAAAGGATGCTCTGCCTCTGAACCATGGAGACGTAATAAGATATAGAAACTTCAAGTGTCTTTTCCACCAAAGATTTGAGAAGCAATTAAATGTTTTAAAACAAGTATTTACACCTCAGTGGCTAAATATATACACAAAGTTGTCCTTTTTTAAAAATGAGTAATTTTTGTAATTTGTTTTAATGACACTAAATCCCATTAAAAAACCAGTAAGCGTACAAATAACCACATTATTCAGTATGCAGGTTTGCAACAAATCGCCCTGGCCCGCCTGCTCTGATGGCAACCAGTTCATCACTAGTCTGAAATGAGAGAGTGGCTGGACTTTTTCCTGCCACAGCCTCGAGTTTTCTTTTCCTTGGTCCATCCTACGAGATTCCAAAGGGTTATTTCCCCGCAATACTGTTTTCCTCGTGCCATTTTCTCATTCGAAGCCCTTAGAGGGCTCCTAGTGCCGGCGTCCAGATCCGCAGGCCGGCCTCCCGCGCTCTCGAACCCCCGGCCACTTGGGCGCGGGGCGGCTGCCCGAGGCCGCCTCGAGCTGAACGCAGCTTCTGCTCACTCCCGAGGCCGAGCTCAGCGCCTTTTCCTCCCCTCACCCAGATCCTGCGGCCTGAAGGCCCCTTTTCCAGCATTAGCCTCGATTTTGTCTTTTCAGAAATCTTTCAGTAAATATTTACTGAATGAATAAATGCATTAGTAGCGTTCAGCGTGACAGAATATCAGTATTATCCCACACTGCGATTTCTTTGTTTTGTGTCTGTTTTAAGCTCCCTGACAGAGTGAGCTCCTAGAAGGTAGGGGCCATGCGTTCCATGTGATATACTGGATATGGAAATTTCCCCCTCGTGTTTTACATTTTTAATAGTCCGCAGTCTGTTGTGGGGCGATGCTCTGTTTGGATGGATGAATGCATGGAGCGAAGGAAATTACCCTGTAACTTTTAAACCTTGGGTTCATCCAAGGTCGAGTCTCCATGTTGTGAAGGGCATCTAAATTCAGGTACACATGGCCATGAACTGCAAAGGTGCCCTGTAGCCTGGAGAAGTGACTTATTTTTATAGTGTGGCTCTTATGCAATACCTGAAATTCAATTAATTTCTAGTTGGAAAAGTATTTGTTTCTATAACTGAAAGCTGCAATCATTATATAGACAACTATATACCAAACTAATACAGTATCAGCAATAAAAAATATAGCAATTCACAGGCATACACTTTGCCGTACTTAAAAGAAACATAGTTAAAAAATTCTTAAGGGGACATAAGTTAAAAGATTTTCACTGACCTGGTTCTTCCTAAGTTGAAGAGATCTATACATTAACTAATAGATTTGAGTTCAAAACAGCTAGGTAATGATAATCTTATGTCCTAAAGTAAAAGGTAATAATTTGGAAAAATGATATATACTACATATAAGCTTATACATATTAGGTAAGGAACCCCTGAGAACTCCAGAAAATTTTTCTGAGGAAATGAAAAACAATTTGGTAAAATGTAAATCTTTAAGTGGACACATTCAAGCTGAAGTATGAGGAAGCAGTTAGAAACACTGGGTGTGGACGGGTGTCAGAGAGGGAGAGAGAGAGAAGGCAGTAAAAGATCCAGAACAGAAAGTAGAAAGGAAAGAGGGTCCATTCTTATATAAAAGGAAGAGAAGTTAAAACAATCAGAAGAAAAGACACAGAAGGGGCTATTTTTGATAAGATGTAGAGAGAACAATAGCAGCACTGTTTCTAAGCCATGCCCATGATCTCCAGGTAGTTTCCAAGTGGGTCTCTACCTGGATCCAGCCAGGTGGGGATTTTAGACCTGAGCCCGTGAAGCTCCACCCACCTGCCCATGGAGCCTGCCCCGGGGCGAACCTTCACCCTTTCGGCACAAGGTCCTGGCCTCTTGCCACAGTGAGAGCGTGCACATTTATTTCCCTGGGACGCTGGAGGAACAGCCACCGGAGGGAGGCCATCTGTGATGCCCAGAGGTAGGCAGGACTATCCAAACTCTACATCTTCTACCTTTGAGCTCCAGGATGAGATCACACACAAATACTGACGAGGTCCCATTTTCAAGCTATATTTAAACTCATGTTTGTATGATTAAGTGGAAACCCGCTAATATTTCAACCATTAAAAAATGAACGGCGAACAGTTGACAGAATCTTTATTGTAAACAGAGGTCATTAATCCTGGTTACAAAATGAATTGACTGAAACTCAAAAAGTTAGCAATCAGAGTCAGATTCATAGGTTTATTTGTGTTTGGCATAATTTGTCATCTTTGTCCTGCAGCACTTTTTAAAAGGCTGCTAAAGTTATCAGCATATCAATGGTCTCATCTTTGTCGAGTTTAGCACCAGAACATTCTTACCCTCTAAAAACTCATTCAAAACTAGGTAGAACTTCCACCATTCATCATCAAAGCTAGTATACAAAATTTGTTTTTTCATAATGCAAAAGAATACAAATAAGTATATTTTTAAATATTACAGACCATATATAGACAGTCCCGCCTTGTGTCATGTGCATTTTCCTACCTGCTCTCTAATGTATCTTGCTTTTATTTCATGTGTCCCCCTGACCATTGCAATCCACCTCTGAAGTACTGTCCTAGCTACCTCCCCCTAGCCTGCTGCTTGTCACAGCAGTGCTCAGAGTAGGGGAGGAACAGCTGGCAGAAAGAGGAATGTGAACATTACAGTTTATAGAAAAATACCATCTGGTGGTGAGATCGAGTAGCTGAAGCTTTCCTGTTATGCAAAATAGGTCACAGGTAAAAAGGATGGTTTGTTTGTTCCTAATCTGCCTTCCAATGAATTTTCCACGTCTACACTTCAGTAAAAAGGCATGGACGACCTTCGAAGTGTCCTCAAATACCATACTTGCTACCTTAACAATCAGTTCTATGAGAACATCAAAATATCCTCTCAAGTCAAAAGCAGTTCATGGAGATGTATCAAAAACACAAGTATTTCTCAAAGAGGAGTAAAAATAGATTACTGCATGCATTATATTCAATAAATAATGCATTGCAACATAGTATTCTGTAGTTTTTATAAAAATACTTAAATGTTTAAACCAAATCTAAATGCAGATCAATAATGAATGTAAAATTTAAAAATATACTGAGCATCTGAAAAAAAATTTCAATGATTTTTTTTCTGAATATCATTCAGCTATTAAGTGATACTGAATATATTAAAATAGGTTCTGAATATCACTGCAACTGTTAACACTCAGAGGTCATAAATTTCACTTTTTTCTTCATTTAAAAACTGCACTCAGTCTTGTATAGCTAGTGAATCTCTGTTTTAGTATACTTTAGTACACTATTCCTAATCTCTAAGGCATTTGGTTGTTCTATCAGAGAGAACTGTAACATACTGAATGCAAATTGTTTTTGTATTGGTTTCCTATCCACACAGCTCAAAGCGACCATGACAGAATGCTGTTATACCTGATGCAGGCGGGGGCCCGTGACTTATCACTACTGCCTCCTTTACAGTACACTACTTCAAAGTCTCTGTCCCTGATTCTGTGTGTGTCTTAATAATACCAGGGAGTGCCTTTCAAGTGGAATATAAAACACATTAATCACTGACTTAAGGGTTGTAAATCATTACAGTGGGATGGTGATATTAGAGCAGAGATCAATTCTCATACTTAAAAAATTACTTGTATTATTTTCTGCATTAGCACCCTCTAGTCCAGTGCTTCCCAACTTTTTTCAAGCCATGGCACACATTAAAAATAGTATTTGTATGGTGCACACTGGGGAGAACCCACCAGGCCATTCCTGGCCAGCGGGACTTGCCTGGGGCCATGGCCTCCCCACTTCTTACTGTGTTGCCCCGAGGGCTGAAGGTATAAATATTTTGGCAACCCTTTCCCCCAATTAAGGTATAAATATTTTGGCAACCCTTTCCCCCAATTCAGGTACTGCTGTGTGCCACGGACCATCAGGAGGGAACTGGGTAACCCATAACTAGGCCAACTGGCCCTCTCTATGTATAACATTTTGGATCTGGCTTAGGACAGTTTAAAAATCTGACAGGGATTGGCCTTTTATTGACACGAGATTGATGGTTTATTTTTTAAACCCGAGTAAGCATACCTGCTGTTTGTTTGTTATCTGTAAGTCTGAATTAGTCTTTGTTCATCTTTGTAGAGTTTTAAATAATTAAGACCAATGCAGACAGTGAAAATAACGAGGTATTTGGAAGCAGGTGTATCTGGGTTTGAATCCCAACTCTACTATTTTCTACATGGTATCAGGCAAGTTTCTTAACTTTCTGATCCTCAGTTTCCTAATGGTGAAATTGGATAATAAACCTATTTACATAGCTTGGGCGAGAATCGGAGAGAGTACACATGCAACACTAGGATAACGCGTAGGGTAAATAAGATGCTTAATAAACAGCAGCTGTCATTATCTCAAAGTTAAAGCTAGGATGGTATTTTAATTTCTACCACATTGTGAACACTTAGTATTTATTAATATATAACAAGTAAACATCCTATTACAGAGAGTTTTCTTCTTAGTGCAAAACTAAGAAACCATAGTCTCTTACTATCTCACATACGTGAAGTTCTTTAATGATTTCACTTGCATGTGAGAATACGGCTGAAAGTTAATGTGCTAAAAATCTGTCATTCCTCTTAGAAGCCAAAAGACAGTGCATGTAACACTTATTGACAGTGTACTTTTTAAACATCTTAAGTGGGTCTATGCCCAGTGGTTACCAAAAGCTTACTTACAGTGAACCTAAACAGTCGCTTCAGCCCTTTATCTTTTAGACAAGGAATAATAGTGGAACTTTAAAAACACTTTTTTAAAGATTAATTTGGATTCTATTCACTTCTGATAATTATTTTAGAAAACGTTAACTTGAAGATCAGTGCAACTTAATGAAAGGTGTATCAGAATTTAGGCTCTCTGAGAATATTTAAAATATGGAGATTATATAACAGATACAGTAGTGCTCTGCAGATAAAATAATTACCAGCTCTCACAAACTCTGTAAAAACATAATTGCATGCATACTCTTAAAAAAAGGGTGAAGTCAAGATATGAACGTATTGAAGACTGCTCAGGTTCTTCTAATGAGTGTTCCCACAGGGGTGGTCTGAGACTTGGCAGCCCATGTTCTGGCCCGTTACTTGTACTTTGAAGAGAGTCCCGTCGGCACACATACAGAGCTTGTAGCGCACCCATTCGCCAGCACCAAACTGGTCCCCACTGGAGGAACTAGGTAGGCGAGTTGTGCTAACCACCACAGTTCCATTTAGGATGATGCTGTTTTCCTATTGGGAGAATAATAATAATATGATTTATTTACTTCCACAAATGGAGATACAACAAATTTAATAAACAAAACTTACTGGAATATTAACAAGAAAAGAAGGCAGTAAGAAATAGTGAAGTCATGACCAAAACAACAACAAAGAAAACAAAACTAATGTCAAGATTCAACCAGTGACCTCTAATAGTTCACAATGTATACCACCAATACACTTGTAACACAATTTACTTCTCAATTAGTTAAAATTACATCAGAATTCCTAAGTGCATAATAAGGCTGGTGCTGATAAAGTCTCAGACCATTTAATTTACTTCCTAAGAGAGTTTTCATGAAGTTACTGACTGATACGTTTCTGATAAGAATTTTCTTCTAGAGAAAATCAATTTTAATTTCCAATGTTTTTGCATCACCACAAATGAAGATTCAAACCATATAATTCTGAAGACCAGGCACTCCAAGGAAACTGCCTGGAGGATCTCTTCTTCAGTCCCTCTGTCCCAGGAACATTCTTGTATTGTAGGCCCTGTCTCTCTCCCTCTTTCCTCTCTTTTTTTTCTTTTCATTCATTCAACAAATAATTATTAAATGTCTACTATATGTTAGCTACTATTCTAGGTGCTGGGGATACCGCAGTCAACAGACAGGCAAAGTCCAAGTTCTACAGTTGACATTTAAATGGGGAGAGGTAGACAATAAACACATGAACAGGTAAAACAAATAGGGCATCATCTGAGAAAAATAAGTCGGTAAGTAGAGAGAGAGTGACCAGGGAGGGGTTCCATTTTACACACGGTGGTCAGGGAAGGCCTCTCTGATAAGGTCACAGTCCAGTGGAAACTGGATCACGCGAAGGAGTAAACCATGTGGGTAACTGGGGAGGGCACTCTGGGCAGAGGAAACGAGACACACAAAGGCCCAAGGTGAAGGTGCGCCTGGAGTTCAGGAACAAGTAGGAGGCCGGTGTGGCTGAAGGAGAGTGAGTGAGGGGGTAGAATGGTAAGAGATGGGTCAAAGAAATAATTAGGGGCCAGACATGAAAGGCCAGGGAATGGACTCTGGATTTTATTCTGAACTAGATGGGAAGCCATTTGGAGGGTTCTCTGAACAGGGAAGTGATAAGACCTTTTAAAAAGGATCACTCTGTCTGCTGTATAGAGAACTGACTACAGGGTGAAAGAGGGAGCTGGGGCCACCTAGGAGGCCGTTCCAACAGTGCAGGCAGGAAATGGTGGTGGGGGCAGAGCCTGAAGGCTTTGCTGAGGGCTGACAGGTACCACTTGGGAACCCTGAAAGAAATGCATGTTTGGGGAGGGAGAGAAGATATGAAGATTTTAGTCTTGTTGAGTCTGAGATGCCTATTAGATATTAAAGTAGAGAAGGTAAGAAGGCAGTTGGATATGTGAATCTTAATTCAAAGGGAAGATTAGAGCAGGAATTCCAAATTTGAAAATCATCAGCTTCTAGAGGTTATTTAAAGCAATGAGAGAAAGTTGGTTATGAAGAATGAAAATGGCTCATTGACCAGGAAGTGATAGTACATGAACTAAACATAGGTCTATAAATTTTCCAATTTTGTTCCAATGCTGCCATCTTGTGGTCATTTATTTTCTTTAAATTGCTAAAGCAGTGTTTTTTAAAAGCAGTTTGATAAGTTTTTCTTATTAGCTATACACTTAAAACCACTAATATTAACTCTATTACAGAGATAATTATCTTTTCAATAATTATCTATTTCTTTAACTGTGGAAAAATTGATATGTGTGTATGTGCATTACAAAGTATTTTAATATTTAACATAGTAACAACAGGTAGGATGACCAGGTAGAAGAAATAAAAGATTTAGGTCACTTGCTAATGGTGTGGTACGAATCTATCACATCTATTGCTTCTTTGAGTTTCTAGTGCAGAGAACATCGACCCCACTGTGCCCATTCTTCAACACTGTCCTCAGGAATGTAAACAATACTCAGTACTGCTACTGAATTACATTTTATGTTCATTTTTTTAAATTTAGCGATTAGAATATGCACTTTAGGGAGGAAAAGCTGTTTATGAAAGTGAAAGAACTTAATTTTAAAGTTTATTTTTTCCCTAAGAACTATGAAATTAAACTTAAATAAAGGAAATAATTATTTTGTAAGTCCTTAGGTTTAAGCTCATGTTTGTCACTTAATGCTTGGTTAAAAAAATTGATCAGCTTTAATTAATTAGCATACAGCAGGTACCCAAAGATACTGTTTTCAACCCTCTTCTGGGATTTGCTTTTCCGTTGCTTTCAGGGAGAGTGTAAGAGGGAGGGAGGAGAGAAGAGAGAGGAGAGAGCCACATTGACCGGTTGCCTCCCACACTCACCCCACCTGGGGCTGGGGATCAAACTTGCAACCGAGGCACATGCCCTTGCCCGAATCAAACCCGGGACCCTTCAGTACGCAGGCTGACAGTCTGACCACTCAGCCAAAGCGGCTAGGGCCTAAAGACATTTTGAATAAATATGCTTTAACCAGAACTGTGAGCAGGTAAAACATTTTCAGACTTACGGGTCCCTTATATGAAATACACATCTATTAAAATTCAGATATAATCTGTGAAGCACAAAGAAAATCTCACTTTTCAACAGCTAGAATAAAGGCAAAATCTTTTTCCTTTAGTATAAAAGATGTGTAAGTAAAAATACATTTTATACATTTGTTAACTGATTTTCACATCACTAGATATAAAACCAGGATGGGATATGAAAAATCTTTAACTGAAAAGAAACCCAAGAACTTCAGAGAATGGAAACTTACTTTGATCTTCCAGAATTCTCTTTTGGAAGTTTTTTTTGTTGTTGTTTTGTTTTTGGTTTTGCCTTTTAAAATAATATAGGTATCATCATATAAGCTTTTTAAAAAGAAAATAACAGACAAGCAGAAAAAAAAAAAAATAAAAGTCATCTGTTATCCTGCTACCCATAGCTAATCTGTAAGGCATACCCTTACAGATTTTATAAACACGCGTTCTTAAGAATAAAAATGAGATATTTCACAAATTGTTTTATAACTTTCACTTCGCAATCCATTTTGAACATCTTTCCATGTCAAAAAATACACAATTACCATTTTTAATAATTGTACACTATTCCATATATGAATTTATGTACCCAAGAATCTAATAATTCTCTTAAATTAAAAAAAAATACTCACTGCTTTTAACTCCATATTACCACCCATGTGAAATTCAATGGTTTTGCCCATAATGAACACTCCTTCATTTCCACGCACTATAGCACGTCCATCAACTTTTATATTTAAATCACTAGTAGCATTGCTGGTAATCTGAAAATTTAAAAAAAAAATAGTGAAATTAAAGTGGGCAATATTATCAGACATAGAGGAAAAGGAGTTTCAACCATGAAATATGAAAGGCAAGTGTTTTCATTCACGTTTTACAGATACTGAGGTAAAGAGATGACTTGGTAATGATCATAAGCTAGGTAATGACAAATCTAGAACTTATCCTTTCTACTGTTCTGGAATTTCTTTCATGCCACTCCCCTCCCACTTTGTACCTTTAGACCAGTGACTTTCTACCGGTGTGTGGTACGAATCTTTAAAACACGCAGTACTTGACCATTTAGCCAGAGGCACTGACATTTCCCCCTTAGATTGTCAAATAAAAAAATGAAAACAGCCAACACAACAATAGCCATTCGGTCGGTGTGAATGAATCAAAATTATGCCTATTTTTTGTCAGGTTCACAAAAAAATATAGTATATTTTTTGGTGTGTCACAGAATTTTAGTAATTAGTTTCTGAGTGCCATTAGGTGGAAAACGTGGAAAATTGCTGCTTTAGACAGTAATTCCCTTCCATTAAAAAAGCAAAGAAAATAAATCATACCCTTTCAGTAGATGCCTTTTGAACATTCAAACTTTTCACTCCACTTGGCAAATGAAACTCATGAGTTTCATAGTCTGTGCTGAATAAAATATTTTGAGTTCTTGGGTCGAAAAACTGCATTCCAATGTCACTTGTAACAGAGGTTTTGTTCTGTTCCACACTGAGTTTTGTTGTCCCTTGCTGAAAAACAATCTTCAGAAAAACACTTTATCATGAATATGTTTTCAAAGAAGGCTGCATCCAAAAATTCATCAAGAACATTATAAAAACACTACATAATAACAGACTAATTTAAAATAATTTTAACCATGTCTGTCCCCTTCCACCCACTTGGGAGAAAAATTCTTCAAAACAAGGGCTTATTGGGGCGGGGAACACACAGTATAATGTACAGATGGCATGCTGTGGAATTGTGCACCTGAAATCTGTATAATTTTGTTAACCAGTGTCACTCCAATAAATTCAGGGAAAAGGGAAAAAATAAACGGAAATAATTCAGAAAAAGTAGATTTCAATCCTCCCCTCAAAAAAACCCCAAAACCAAACCAAACCAAAACAACAAAAAAACCCAAGGGCTTACACATTTATTTGCTTATACTGCTCTGCACAAATACATGGGTCGCAGGGTACATGGATCTAGGCCTGTGATGGACAGGGAAGGTCTATCCTTGGGGTTCATGTAGTTAAAAACTTGTGTTATAGCAGCCACTCGGCATGGGCTGCCCCACACTAGATTGGCACATTCTCTTCTAAACTCCCAGAAAGTACAGGGTATTCTAACCAGGGCAGGTACTTTTTACAATGGTTTTCTTGTATGGAGAAGACAGGAGTAAACTATGTATTCTTATAATAATTATATCTATCACAGAACATGCTACCATGGAACAAAACCTAGAATATTAAGAAAGCATCTAACATTAATAGATTCTAAGACCAACAATATTATTAAATACATTTATGAATTTTTCTCTAAAGGAAAATATCCATTTCCAATAATCAACTTAGGTTTTTACAAAGAATTTTTCTCTAATGCCCCTCAATTAAATGTGGTAACTTACAGGCTGGTTGTTGCCAGTGATGACCAAATTCTCATTTCGCCTTCCTCCTACTGTGCTCTTATAAAGAGGATGTATAACTCCCATGTCAGATACTTGCTTAAATCGCAGCAGACCACTTTCATGAAACTCCATGCTGTCACAGCCATTCGGTCCAATGCGAATCACAGCCCAGATAACAAGTGTTATCTAAAACAGAAAACAAGCCCACTGTTAACAGGCATTAAACACTTAACAGAATTGGAAAACAAATAGAAAAGGTAATTGCCAAAGAATGATACTTCTTAAAGTGTTTCATCAGTGAGATGAACATGTCAGTTGGTTTTCTACTTATAAACAAAACCATTTAGTTTCTATCAGGATATTACATGCAAATAGCCAACGGTCAAAAAGTGCTAAAAGGTCTATAATAGAAAAAGCAGCTTATTTCTTCTATCTCCTCCATACCTCATCCAGGGACAACCACTTTCAACAATTTTATATATTTTGTCTAGAATTTATCTTCATATTTAAAAATAATATTTGTTCATTATTTCTTCTCTCATCAATTTTAGGATTTATCTACTGATTTTCTATTTTAACAGGTGAGAGTTTTAGCTCATTTTTATTTCTTCTCCCCCAACTTCAATCTCAAGTTTTGGTTAAATCCATGCTAGCATTTTCATTATCATGACCGTATAAATATAATTCACGGCTAAGCCAAATGCTGTATATGACAGAAGCTCCTTTCCTGTACCTTGTGTCCCTCAAACTTTAATACTTGTCTTACCTCTTTTGCTTAGTTTCTTTGAAAATCTAACTAAATCTTTCTAAACCCTCCAATATTTCTGTCAAATGTCTCTCCAGAAAATGTTCCAGAAGTCCAAGCCTCTCAGAGAAGCTATAAGTTCTATTTTCCCTCTCAGGAAATCTTTCTGGAACCTCTATCTTCTTGCTTTACTCTCCTTCACTTTCCTGCTGGAACTTCCTTTTCTTTCTCCCTGTAGACACCCAGTTTCCTGTATCCGTGTCTTCATCTTTTGTGCTTTAGTACCTCCTTCCTTTTGGTAGAGCACATCTTCCTGTGCCTTCCCTAGAACGAATGCATGTGAAGTGAAATTTTTTTAGAGTGCACGGCTAAAAAACGTCTTTATAACCCCTCACACTTGACTGATGGTCCTGCTTGGTATACGTTCCTAGATTTGAAATTGTTTTGTCTCTGAATTTGGACGGCCCTTGCTTACTTGCCTTCCTAGTTTCAGGTGCTGTTTTTGAGAGGTCTGATGCCACTCTGATTTTCTATTCTTTATACATACATAACCTGTGTCTTTTTCCTCTAGATTATTTTAGGATCTTCTAATTCCTGATTTTCTTCAGTTTGGCTCTGATATCTTTTGGCTATCAGATGGCTCTGATATCTTTTCTATGTATTATGCTGGACCCAGAATGGTACTTTTCAATCTGTTCTAGAAAGTCTTCTTGGTTTATTTATTTGAAAACTGTCTTCATTCTGTTCCTTCTTCTCTTTCTGAAACTCCTATTAAGAGAATGTTATAGTTCCTGGGATAGTTCTTTAATTTTGTTGAACTTTCTGGAAAGGTTCCTTTTCTTTATCTTCCAGTATCAACCCACCCACCCACTCACCTATCTATCCATCCAAGTGAGTGTGTTTCTTACTCTCCAGCTGCTCCTTTAATGGCATGTTGTCTTTGTTTCATGGATGTAATATCCTCTTACTTTTCTGAAGATACTGATTTTAGTTTTAGTTTTCTGTTATAAGTTGCACTCTCTCTCCCTCCTTGAATTCCTGCTTTCCTCATGGTTTGGATGGTTTTGGTCTCTATCATTTTTCAATTCTGGGAGCTTTCCAAAAAAAATATATTGATCCCTGGAGGCACAGCGTTCATATTTAACAGTGAGGTTGCAAAAAAGTCCATGAAAAGTTCTTTGTGCGTGGGGCTTGTGACTGACAGGCTTCACGTGGCCTTTTCACTAGGACCTGCCAAGTGTCAGCATCTAAAGGTCCTTTCTCTGGGTGCTTCAGTTTCTCCAGAAAAGGCCGTTACCTCTTGCCCGGGGGATACCAGGGAAACTAGAGGTGGAGGGTGGGGACAGGGAACCTGGGGAAGGGACTCTCAGTACTCAGGGTTCAGGCTTCCCTGCCTTCGGTACAGAAACCCATCCCTACCCTCCTCTGTGCAGCAGCTCGGGCAGTGAGAATCCTCTTTGGTCCAGCGTATTCTTGTGTGGGGTTGGGAGGGTTGCCATATAACTGCTGCCTGGAAGGGAGAAGGAGGCTGGGGATCTCATGGCTCCTAGAGATTTTCAAACAAGCTGTTTTCAGTTCTCGCCTTACTCCTGCTTTTCAAGGTACTTATACTTCTGATTCCTGAAGCTGTTCAGGATTCCGCACGACACTTTCACCAACACACCCTCCCCAGCACACGTAGCAGTTTCTTTTCTCTGGTAAGTTATGTGCCATGCTGCTGCCTCCTTTTTGTCTTCATATATTATGACTTACGATTTCAGTTGCCTCCCACTTTCTTCCAAGATACTGACATTTTCACCTTGGAATGAGCTTTTCAGAGAGAAGGGATGCAAATGTTTTTAATCTGCAACCTTAACTAAAAGTTTCCAATAAAATAAACGAAATAAAATAAATTTGGAATATGTGTTCCCAGTAAAGCTATTTATAGTACCAGCTCTTTTCGATTTAAGTAAAAAATTAGACACAAATGTTTTAGGTGTACTTAAATACAAAGGAATGGCTAGGAAGTATTAGAAGTAAAAAATAAATGGAATCACTTTAGAACTGCCAAAGTCTATGTTCATGATCGGTCTTAGGTATACCAATAATCACTCTGCAAATTTAATCCTCACATAGTCACAACCTTGGATTAAAAGTCTTATTCCTTAAAAAAGCAAATATCTTTGGAAAAGGCAACATACTGTGTCCTTAGCACCTCAGTGTCAACTAGCTTACCACATCCTTTTATTCTCTGACAATAGAGATTTAAGAATGTAAAATATAACCCTTTAATGCCACCCAAGGGCTTACAATTTTAAAAATCTAGCTGAGGAGACAAGACTAAATGCGAGAGAACTGAATGAAAGCAGGAAGGATTATATTTTTTAGGAGAGATGAAGGCAATAAAATCATCTTGGCAATGGTCTCAAAGATTGAGGGGAGAATCCATGAACATTTTTTTTTTAAAGAAAATGAATACACAGCAATATTTGCATACTAAGTTATATATATTCATTAAAAACTCAGTAAGAGGTAAAATATGTGTAGGAGAGCAGAAAGAGGGTGCCAAAAGAAATGGTAGAAATAAAGTCCATGATTTCACTGAGGAACAGATGAAAAATTCCCATGGTAATTTAAAAAAGAATATTCTATACCACATACTCACAATTAAGTTGATGACAGCCAGGATGAACAAGAGGACAATCACACAGATGGCTAAGTTGCCCTTTCTCCCTCTCAAGCCTGTTTTATGGAGGCGATCTTCATCAATCGGAATATATCCGGCTTTGAAGTTACTATTGTGCTCTTTATTGACATTCCTCCTCTCAACAGCCTTCTCACGCATGGACTTCTTTACAGGACCATTGGAACTTGGCTAAAACAAAGTACAACACACTGGAACAGCTATACCCTCTCTTTTTGATGCATTTATTTATTAAGTGCATATTCATAACCAAAGAAAGCTGAATTGGTTAGTGATGTATTTTCCACTAATAAATTCAAATCACGTTAAGTTTCAGGCTCCAAGTAAGACATTAATTACTATGCTTAGCGGGGTGGTAAAGAACTTTCAGTGTGACTATTTGATAACAGATTTTCACACTCTGCTTTGAATTGTTCTACTTAGTAAAGTGTACAGTTAGCTCTTGGGGGGAAGAGTTGACATATACATTCTACAGTGGGTAATCTTTTTTATTAATGATTTATAATTATTTTAAATTATGTATATGTTTTCATTTAGATGAAAAGAATTTGGAAAGGCTGGCAGACTGTTATTTATCAAAGCTAAAAACTGGCTAAAGCTACCATTATCCTAGACTAGCAGTTTCCAAGTATGGGCTGGGGAGTCTTAGAGGGGTTCCCTGAAACCTCTTAGGGGTCTGGAGGGTGAAAACTATTTTCAAAATAACACTAAGATACTATTTTTCCTCTTTTACTCTCCTCTTATGAATGTACAGAGGAATTTTTCATAGGCTCCATGACTGTATGTGATGACATCATTGCTCTAACAGCTAATGAAATGTATGCTTTGTGTATTCCTGTGTTTAAATTTTTTTCCAGTTTTAATTTCTAATACGGTAAATATCAATGGATATAACTCACGTAGACAAAAACCCTTTGGGATCCTCAGTGATTTTTAAGAGTATAAAGAGGACCCGAGAGCAAAAAGTTTGAGAACCTGACTTAGACTGTGGTTGAATGACATTTTAGGTATTAATCTGGTATATCACAAACACAAAAGGAGTGGGTAGAAATGGATACTGTCCAACTTACATGTGTTTTAGAGCTCTGAGAAAATTCATTTATTGAATAGGCATTTATTAAGCACTTTATGCTTAAACACTAATACCATAAATAGGAATACAAAAGAAATACAGGACACAATCCTTATCCTCTAGATATTATAAATGTGACTTGGGTACATAAAATAGTAATGCAGTGAAGTATTCTGTAGGTTCAGGTGCCAAAATCAATAGTATAGACAATATATGCTGTAGAGTTTAATGGGAGGAGAGACAGGATGGCTTGGAGTTGTCAGGGAAACCAGACAGAGCGAGTGGGTCAGATCTGGCAATTCAGGGATAATCAAGGAGGTAGGGCAGGCTGTGAAAGTTCTTGACTGCTGGGTACAAATGCTGGTCTTTATGCTGTTTAATTGGGAATCACTGGAAGATTTTCTTTTAAAAATATATCTTTATTGATTTCAGAGAGAGGAAAGGAGAGGGACAGATAGAAACACCAATGATGAGAAAGTCATTGATCAGCTGCCTCAAGCACACAACCTGGGCATGTGCCCTGACCAGGAATCGAACCCCAATCACCTGGATCCTAGGTCAACGCTCAACCGCTGAGCCACGCCCAGCCAGGCACATTGGAAGATTTTGAACATGAATGACATGTTTCAGGATGCTAAATGTGTGGGCATTTGTAGGAGAGTTAGGAAATAGACTACCAGGAAGTAGGCTGTTGGGGATGTTGCAGGAATAGAGGTTTCTGGTAACGGAAGGCCTAAATACACTAAGGTGGGATGAAAAAGATAGATTAAAAATATACTTCAAGAGAAAAGTTAACTGAATTTGTAGCCAGGTTCAAAAGGAATCTCATGTTTACTAAATGGTGACTAGTTAAATATGAGGAACGAAGGAGGGAGAAGATTCTACATATGTTGCATTTGAACTCAATGAGAAATAACCACATGCCTCAAAAGCAATGGGAAGGGTGGGATGGGACATTAGGTTGCCAGGGCTAGAGATACAGATTTGAGAGCTTGATAGAGATTTGAGAGCTCTCGGCCTTGAAGTAAGTTAAATCTATGAGACCATATCAGTTTACTGTGAAAAAATAGTACAAAAAGAAGAGAACAAAGCGCCAAGGAGGTAGTATTGGGAAACTTTAAATGTACAGGAACAATGGAAAATAAGAAATACAATGAATGGTAAGAAAATCCAGGTTGCATAGTGTTGCTGAACTTGATTTGTCAGGAAGTGCCTCCACAACCTTCAAAGGTGAACTCTGTATAGCAAATTGGTAAGTAGGGAATAGTCTTGAAAAGACGCCAGCATGTATACACCCATTTTCGAGTCCAGAAGGAGAAGAAAGATTATATATAAAAAATTAGGTACTGTCAGAGGAAAATTGTGCATCTATTGTTGTTGTTAGTACCTCCCCCCTCTCCCCCAGTTTGGGGGAAGACCTATATGTTTGATAGCAGAGGGAAAGACGTCAAGAGAAGCAGATAGCAGGGTAATGTGGGAAACAAGATCCTGCAGGAGGCAGGAAAGAAAGTGATAAAGAATACAGGAGAAAAGAGCAGTCTTAACGGGGCGGGCTCCCACTTCATTGAAATGGTTGACACCATGAAGGGAAAGCATTCTTCTTTTTCCTAGGGATGTTATAGGCAAGGCCATCTGAATCTTACGGTGCGGGGGTAGTTGAACACTTATGGAAAAAGACAGGAATAATCATTGTGAGTAACGTGGCAGATAAAGTTTTAAAAATTCCACAAAGCAGTAAAGAAGGCCCAGTAGGATATAATTCAATCTACTCAACGGATTTTATCACAAAACAGAATGCTGAATACAGTTGTGTAGGCTGTATATCTGCATGAGGTGCAACATCTATGAGGGTGCATTGACACTGCAGATGTTTTAGACTTGAATATGCCATTTTGATAGTTTTCCCCCCAAGGTAGTAATATACCTTAAGGGAGCTGTGCTTTCTTCTAATTTTCACAGCTATTTGTGACAGTGCTAACAGGCTAGCAATTTAAGTCTTAGAGTTTGAATATAGGTCTACATATCAGAGGCAGGGCAAAATTTATCCCTGCTGGGATGCATTCTTTACTCTTCTCTGTCAATTTATGCACGTTATTATATTTGTTGGATGCATTTAACATTTACTGAAGAGTGACTATATGCCAGATGCTCAGACTACCAAGCTGAGCAAGACATAGAACCTACCCTCAATGAACTCACAAGCAAGTAGGGTAGATAGTCAAGGTCACTAACAATTGCAGTTCAACATGGCAAGGGTACACAAGAGGAATGCAATTCTACTTAGCAAGTGGGGGTATCAGTTGAAGGTTTTTAAGAAAATTTGAGGTTTCAGTTGAATCTTGAAGGATAAACAGGAGTTAGCCAGGCAAAAGTACAGAGAAAGGCATTCCAGGCAGAAGGAACAGCATGAAAATTCTGAATATGGGTCATCTCTGGGCAAACTAATTTTGGTAGCTTTATGTGGATGGTGAAGAGGGTAAGTACAGGAATGGGGCAAAAAAATGAGATGAGAGATGTGGTTAGAGGTCAGTAAATGAATGGACATAAGTACCATGTCAAGAACAATGGACTTTACTAGGTGATAAGGAACCACCAAAAATTTAAAATAGGTTCGAGATACAATCAGATTTGCATTATAGCAAAATCAAACCAAAACACAATGAACTGGAATAGGTGTTGAGAGTTGAAGATATCAACAGCAAGTTTCTCTAGCAGTCCCACATGAGGGCTTGACTGAGCTTTGGCACTGGAGATGAAGAGAAGATTAGGCAAGTGGGATCTAAGATCACTACCAAGTAGGACCTGCTCTACATAGTTGGTGGGATCTGAAGGAAAAGACAATGTGGGGTTCTCCGTTCAAATATCAAGCCTGGAACAGCACAGCATTAAACCAAATGCAGGTCCCTTCCGGCACCCCTAAGCTGGCCCAGATCTCAAGATTCTGGCTAGGTTGTAGCACTTTAAATAGTAAGTATGATGAAACCCAGTTTTGAAAACTTTTGAGTTTGAACTGCCTGTGGAAAATTCAGGGCTAGAGACATAAATGCAGAACTTTGAAGTGTAAATTGAGGGATGGACCCGACTGCCTGGCTTATGTGTAAAGCAAGAATAAAACCTCAGTGGAACCTCAAGAACATCAATAGGTGATGCCTATGAAAAAAAAACTGTTTAAAAAGCTGATAAATTAGGAGGGGAATCAGGAAAGCCAAGGAACAACTTTAATCTCAACAACTCCAAGCTTTGTCTTCTTTCACTTTCACTCATTCCTTTTTTTAAAATTTTATTTTACTGCGTCAACCTGTAGCTTGCCTACTGTCTTTAGCGGATTGTTCTGCATTTATTAGGCAATTTGACTTTAAGCTCCTTGAAGGCAGATTTCACGTCTTCTATATTTTATATCCCTCAGAACGACTCTAAATAGGTCTCTAAAAGCAGTTAATTACCTAAGAAAATCTTTCCAGAAAAAAAAAGATTTTCTGGAAACAGAACATTAGTTACTTGACTCATCTTTATTTTTTTAAACACTGTTTAAGAATGGGACTTTTTCAAAAGAAATGATCACATCATAGTTGTTGTTTTTTCTAAAGGGAAATAACAGTTAACAAAAAAAAAAAAAGACCAAGAAAATTATTTTTGTTATAAGAAATCACCCTAGTAACCATAGGTATACACATATTTACACACATGTATTCACTTACAGGGTGTGGCAAACACAGGTTCGAGTACGTGGAAGAGTTTATTCTTGTATTATTATTTACTAGTTATTGCATTATTTTCCATAGGAACACCTGTAAACCTACTTTTGCCGCATCCTGTATATATATATATATGAATAAATATGAATATATGTATCTTGCTTTGAGAGGAAAATAGCCTTTGAAACTATTCTAAGTTACAAGTTTACAACGCAGATCAGGAACTACTTGATAAAGCATTTTAAAAAATTATTTTAAACCAACTGGACAGGGGGCAGTTTTATACCGGTGACTAAAGCTCCAAAAGCCAAAGCGGGAGAGAAACCTGGGCACCGCGCATGC